CCAATTCCCCTGTCTTCAAGCGCGATATAAACCGGCATCCAGTTGCACTATTTCCAGGTTATGGGGTGCATTTTATCCCCCATTCTGGTAGGTTGCAACTAGTTTAGTATTACCTTAACAATGCTGTGCAAATCACTGTTGTTATCCATAAGAGTTTTTTGTTAGAGATTTACAACTACTGCCAAGTTTGTTAGATAGTAATATCCCAGACTTGTATAATATATCATCCGAGATTTAGATTCGGTCACTGACGATAGACAAACTGCTAGTGCACTCCAACTGTTCTTGAGTATGTTAATTTCATACAGCCTAAAACAATGTGGTTAGCCTACACATCTGTCTCCGTAGAGACAGTAAAGCAGATATGGTGAGTAAGCGGCTTCATTAAACAGTCAAAAGGGTGCGAATTTCTACTGAACTCCGTATTCTACAAAACTCCTAATCAATTCTCCTCCCACCGACGAAGGACAGACAGTGTGCGGGCACCAACTCTTTTTGTTTATATCACTTCCTTTGAACCTGTGGAAAAATTCATGCAGACGAAACCACGAAAAGACTATCTGGACGCATAACGGAACATCATTTGGGTTGTTTCAACAAAGGACTAATGAAGAGTGAAGAATCGGTAAGCAATATATATATTTGAGGGCTCTTTATCGTTTAACGGATACCGGTGAGGACTTTCGTCGTATCTACGATGCCAGTGGAACAGTGGCAAGAAATGCACGAAGTTGAATATAAGCTGCCACCGAGGCCATCAGGATCTGTCTGATTAATCGCTCTCCGTGGGCCCAGAAACAAATTACGAGCTCTAAGATTCTATCCTAGTTATTGGTACAAGTCACTGTGCAGAAATCCAAAACCCCATGTGAATACCATGACAGTTATTAGCACATTAGTTCTTATGATACAGAAAGCACCGAAGCTGTGTGAACATGAAATTGTCATTTATTGTTGTCATGATTTCTGATGCACCTGTTATTGTCTTCTTTGCCCGTAATACTTATGAAACATGCTTGCTTAACCTAGTTGTGAAGCTGTGAACCATGTTTCTCTAGAACTAGATAAATGGTACCCGTAAATAATCCATAAGTTCATCATTCGGTCTCAGAAAATTAAGATCACATGCGTTGCATACACGCAATTTACAGAATTGACTCCTAAACGGTTAGGTTTGGCTTTTATTCAGGATTTATTCCAAAACCAAGTTGAGTTTCAAAGCACAATGATGTCAATGTCTGGATTATTGTGAACCAAAAATAATTCTCTCAATGATACAATCGAGTTGAAAAATACATGCCTTAAAGGGAGAAAGGAGAACATCTGTGAATGTTACTGTCAAATTCCTGGATCACTTCAAGAGAAAGCTAGATCAATGACCGTCCGAATGTCAGACCCGTGTATAGTTGAATGGTTAGGCTGTCAGTCTCACGCACTCAATCACAGGCCACGTGAAATGGGAGTGAAATACAAGTAGGTCGGAAGTCAATCAACCTGGTTGTTCACGTGTTCCTTGTGTTGGCCTCTAGCATTTACTACTGAGGTTTTACTAAAAGCAACCGACAATTCTAATATTATTTCGCATTAATTCTCGGAGTTCGAGCGCTGATGAGTGAGTAGCAGATACCATGAACGCAATATATCTGCTCGTTTTCATCTTCGGAATTTATCGATCAAATATAAACATCCTCCCAAAGGTTTACAAATAAAGTAGACTACCTTGATGGTGGAATGCCATGTACATACTCTATTTTGAATCTCACAGTGAGCATCCCGTTCGTCCAGAATTTTATCTGTTGATAAGCTGAATAATGCAGCCAATTGATGGAATGGCAAAATGCACTACGAACAGATTCAAAATATCTGGTCAAATTAATCCGAACGGGCAAAAGCAACCGTCACTTGCAAATTCCTATTCGCATCCTTTGAGGATTCACACAAGCAGTTATCTTGTGCATTTATTAAAGATTACGTACCACGGCTGAGTCTACAATTTGTGTAACCTCTTTGTAAGATTTGAAGTACTACGTTATTCTTTCATAGATATAGCCTGACTGAATGTTTCTACCGAATGATTATCAAAAAACTGCTAACAGGTGACTTTTATTTTGTATCAAAAACTTTCATCCATGAGCTCATCGGGACTTTATTCGGCAGATTCGTAAAAGTCGGCCATTAAAATTATAGATGTATGAGGTGCTTAAACACTGACTTCTCGTTTCATCATTAGTCACCTAGAGGATGTTCCCATGAATCTGTGATGTTAGTCCAAGTGTAAGTGCATTTGTGTCTATCAGTTGCGTATCTATAAGTGGGAGAACTCTGCATAACCGATTGTACCGCAATCCACTGAATGCCCGTTTTTCGGTACAAGTAATGATAAAGCAAATCATGTAAAGTTAACTACATCTCCGTGTAACAAGTGAAACGTTTAAAGTCAGGATGAGTTATTAATTCAAATTCACAAATCCAGTCACTGTCTCATTACCGATGAAGATCTTTTCGCTTCCCATGACGTTCACGTCTTCATCAGGATTCAAGGTTTACAATATTTAGATTGTCCCAGTTTTTATAGCGAAGGCGGTAAAATCTGACCTTGTGAATACAACAGTGGAAATTTTGCTAGCAATGACCTCAAAATAGGACCTTCGAACTGGTTGACCTCCATCATCGACGCCTAACATAAGTAATAATAAGTCACTATAATCAAGGACCTCTGAGTTTGATGGCTGGTTCAGGATCCGCGAGTGCCTGGGTCTTTTGGGAAATTAGAATGTATGTTCTGAATAAACCAAAATGGCTACTGAACATCAAACTGTGGGGGGGGGGGGGGGGGCAAGGATTTGATTTCAAGTAGGAATTTATTCATAACTCACCAAATTCCAGATTACTGTATTTTATTACTTCCTGTTTCGCCAAAAATGCTTATTGGTGTTAATGTCTTTCAAATCAACTGAGATGATTATCATACGAATATACCGCATCTATCTCAAGTCACCTGTTATGTAAACAAATTAAAATTTGCCAAAATTAGACGAAAATCAGTTAGAAATCTCTTCATTTTTTGTTCACCTAACACCGTGCGACAAAATGACTAATTCGCAAACAGGAATTTGATCAAAATGAGCAAATCAAATACATACGTACTCGAATAATGCGGCATGATTTGAACCATTGTACGGCTGAACAGTCAGTCCTCCAAAACGATGTTTGAGCCACAGAAGATACACTGTTATTTACAGATCACAGAAATATGGTGGAATTTTCCTGTTCATAGTTTCTTTTGCTATTGTGAAACTTGGAAATGATCGATGGACTTGGTAAATTGAACTGGATCCTCAAAGCAGACTCGATGAAAGCCTTTACAGCAAAGCTCAAGCTGTTTCTCACGGGATCATTTGTTCCTATAAATTCCTAAGTGAACTCGAATGGTGTAATCTTCTTGCCGAATAAAAAAGTTGGAAGAGATAAAAGTTTGAGTGTAATTTCACAAACAAGACTCACAACTCCTGGTATTGTAACAGAACCTTCTGACAAACCTCTAATCAATGCCAAACAATGTTAAAACTAAGACTGAGTGGTGTACGTGCAATTGTCCGGTTGAACATATTCAGTTGTGGTACACTTTTGCATCCTAGACCAATTCCTAACAAACCAAACTGGTACGCATCTTCATCCGAAAATATTAGCAGGTGTGAACTGCCGTCGCTTCTTTTTGATAAGGTTCTACGAATCAACAACTTAGCTAACTGGTACTCATAACAATGCTCATCATCGGTTTGAGAGTTGATGATTTCTTTCACAGCTGTTCAGCTTTGGCTTGCCAAATTTTTCTTTCGATGTCCTCGCAGATCGTATACGGGTCACTCCACATAAGAGCACTGCATCCGACGTACTACAGATAATACTCGCTATTCAAATGGCTGATTCGCTAATTCCCCTTTCCAAGGAAATCGGAATATTAGGTCACAGGTTTACGTGTCGTCTTCTCCGAGTTGGATAATTAAAGATACATGGTAAGCGGAGACCTCGCTTCATTTCGCGAGTTCCTTAAGTCAGCTAACTGAAAATGTAAACGAATGAAAATGGGACCGAGAACTGCAAAGCACTGAATATGTTTAAACAATGAGTAAATATAACGGATTGCGTAGAAATCGACAAATGACACAATTCAAAGTTAGTTTCTATTACGACCATGGGAGGTGAAGTATATAGTTATCAATGGTTTCGAAAATCTCTCTTGCAAACAACTTTGGCTTTGACATATTCCTGGCTTGTATAAAAGCAAAGCATATTCAAAGAATATTCATAACAGATCATTGAAGCTTCGTATTAGACTAATACCGTGTTGCAAATGATTTCAAGTTGAGTTGGTTGTCCACTCTGATAATCGCACGGGAAAAATACTCACTAAATCATTTAGATTTGCTAGCTCATGACACGCAAGAGCAACATTTGCGATTTCATACTAGTTTTTCCAGGCCAGCAGTAGTCAAGCCGTAATTATGAAATAATTTGTCGTCCTCGTCACGAGTCACTTCCCGACTTGGTAACTTTTGATTAGCAGCTGCTGCCTTACAGAATGATTATACTTAGTCGCATGAATAATAAAGGGATCAAAGAAATTTTTTACCAAGATGAAGTTAGTCAACAATTTATTCCATTCTCTTTTACACCTACTTACAACCTGCTTATCATCGACACTTCTCATATTCAGTGATGGGATAGAACAGAGAAAAAAGTTCCATGAGGATAATACTCCTGTTGTTTCCGTAGTACTGCCTGAGAACATGAAGATAGTGCTCTCTTTTCCAGAAATTTGTCAGAGAATACTTGCACAACTGTGTGCGTGTGATCACGTGCTAAACAATCAGTCGGTAAGCTAACGGGGACTGTGATTCGTGGATTTGGAAAGTGATAAAAGGGGACGTGTAGCCAAAGGATTTGGTTGTACATTCTCGAGTGATACCACGTTCTACTTTTGTTGTGAGGAATCACCTATGCAAACCCCGATTTATCTGCTACTGGTGGTAACACACCTATCACCAAACGGTGAGTGTCAACTCTATTGGTTTCGTTCTACTTATATTTAATAACGTGTTTACTAAGTAGATGTTTCGATTATTTTCAAAGTCTGTCCATTTTTAGCCGATAAACAGGAAATGCAATGGTTCATAGATGAGAAACATATATGAGGAGTTGGAAAGTATAATGAATAACATTTTGAAGTACTTCCTAAACAGGGCTTACACATCCAGATCTTTTATTGGTTGATGTTACTTCTATGCCAATTTTTATTAACGTTTTCATTCAACACAGAATGCGATTCCAAAACATGTGATTAGTACCTAGGTGGTTATTGCTCATTTTAGGTCCACAAATTTGTTTTCTGGAGTGAACTTAAACATGGCAGTGTGGAAGGTTCTCCTAATATTTTGTAAACAAAGGAATGTTGATAAAAATCGAACATTTTGGACGAGTTTAAAAATAACGGCACTACAGTTTATGGCCAGCCGATGACTAATACTTTTGTAAAGAGTTTTCGACAGTTGTTGATGTGATCCGAAGGGATAAAGGCAGTGGGATGCTTTCTGATATTACCCTATGTATGAGCATCACCAATGTTCCGATTAGGAGCTGGAGATTTCATACGCCTTGTGAACGTTTCACATAAGTAGCCTGTGTAAGCAACAGATTCATGATTAGAGTCCCTACTAAGTCACAGCTTGCAGACTGGTTTGTAGCTTTTGTAGATTGTTTCGTTAGTCAAGTATTTTGTTAGGTATAGTGAAGTCAGTCCTACTAATAGGGAAGAAACTAATTCAGTCCTGAGTATGTCTAGTACTGCCAACTCAGCATTTATACTTCGGTGGAATATACCATTGCACTAAACGTTGAATAACGTCCCGGACAAACTTCATTTTATAAATCAAACTCTTCAGCAAAATAAGAATCTGTTTACCAAAGAGTTTCCTGATAGTGAATGAGTTTTCGAGGTAAGCTTGTCAAATCGTTCCGAAAATGGTTCGAATTATTTGAATTCACGCACGTAATACAAGCAACAATCTCCTAGAACTGAATAACTGTTCCAGTTTTTTCACTACCGGGGCATTGGGACCTAACTCCGGCTTTCACTGGACCGTAGTATCCCTTAAGTAAAGCTCAGGGTGATATGAAATTTCGGAGCATTTTGGCCACGGGACTCTGAAATCAATACCTTGAGTTTGCAAGAGCATGAATAAAAAACCCATTTTTGGATCACTGAGGTAATTTACGCGATTTGTCACACATAGTTAATTCTTGTTTTTAAATCTACAGGACTGCTGGAGATTAGTCAAATAAAAACCTTTTAATTCCTCTGTGAGGTATACACAAATGAGTTGTATGTTAGCCTGAATGTCCGTTGGTATTTGTCACCGTCATGATTTTCACCAATCTTATCATATCTTTTGACACAGTTACAGAACAGCATGAAACACTCAATCAGTGAAATGCTGTTTATATCAGACTAATCAGGGGACAGATGCAATCTAGTCGTGAGTGTAAATCGATGCACGGCCACTTGTCTGCATAAAGGAATACTGTGTTATTTATTTTTGATAAGAGGAGTATAGATACAAAACCTTTTCTATTACCAACCCATATCTCGTCACTGGTAACCAACGTTCGCCCTAAGCCTCTTCCGTTCTTTACCTAGAAACTGATCCAACTCAAAAACTTCACTGAACTAGTCAGGTTGAAATGGTCTTTACCAAAGTCAGAAAGCTTTCTCTTACATCGCACAGTCTACGAAGAATTAGGTTACTTCCTCCTTCGGTGGCTTATTTGCTCACTTATATTCTTTCCAGTTTTGAAAGTAGATTTCGTACCCACCAGCAAATAACTGAAGTTTATCTCTCATTGTGACCACATTATCAGAGATGTTGTCAGTGATTCTATCATTAGCTAGCACTTTGATGTTTGTGACAAATTTACGTTTAGGTTACTCTCCAAAATGCATCAATGTCTTCATTTTACACCATCCAAAGCCGTCCCATTTTCTTCCATCCATTTGAAAGTCTAAATGCTCTATTCACGCATGTTAACCTGTGGAAAACTTTAGCTCCTACTTTGTTTGCCCACTCGTAGACCACGATCTAGTGATCAACGATCTCCTTATCCACCTTCATCATAAGTCAAATCGTATGCATTGTTTCGTGTTACCTACACGCAATTATCTGCATCTCCCAATAAGTCCTTGAACTCTTTTTCTTATTATTCAGTAAGCCACGAACTTGTTGAAAATTCGCCCATGATATTTTAGTAACTTGATTTGAGTTGATATATGAACCCCTTTGGACTTTTTCTGATTGAATCTGATGACATGATTTGGTTGAAACCATTTAGGGGCGCTGTTTCCATCATTCGAAGAACCGGAGTTGCCCCCGATGACATGCGGTGGCAATGCGAATCGTGGTAACGTATCCAAATCTCCCACAGAAACATATCATCTAGGCGAGAAATCAGGAATCCTAAAAGGTGTCTTTATGATAGTTTGGTATGATTGTAATCCACTTTAGGTTCTCGGGTTAAATAGGATAATATCAATGGTCAGATAGGCAAAACAAGATTCTCAGTGCTTCCACTGTTTGCTTTCTCCTATTTAGTTGGTGCCATATCTGTGCCATCCGAGGAAATAGACCAATCGATAGATGAGGCAATGAAACTTTTATCACTAAATAATGGAAGTCCAAGTCTGGATTTACGTAAGCCTCATATTATTTCGTCTTCTTTGGCATTACCGTAGACGACTGGTTCTCCCAGATGCTATTCCTATGAAGTGGAATGCAGGTATGGTGCTGCATATCCTAATGGGTCTATAGAATACATTTACTATTTCGTGTTCACTCAGAAGTCCTATGTGTGCTAAGTAGATACATGTGTGTATGAGTGACTTTGCTTTTGTGGTTGCTAATTCCAACAAAGATATTGATATTTATCAAATGACTCAATGCATTTTATTTGTATCTGCGTTGACCTAACTCATATCAGCTGAATAATCGAATCGGGCAAATAGGTCAGTTATGCTCTTGCACTAACAGTGTACGTGGTCGTCGCAAACTTATTGCTGAGATGTTAACCAATTTCTCTTTTTGTTACTTCACCGAATACACAGAATGTCAACACAATCGAATCATCGCAAAAAATCCTATGGACAACACTACCATCGTAATAACAATCTCAAGGTTGTCCCAATGTTTTGTAACTGAAGTTCTAGATGTTTCTACGAGTAATAAGGTGTATCTGACGGTATACAATGTTATTTGTGAGAATAAAGTGACCATGACGGTGCAGTAACCTTTTCCTATCATCTTCGATCAGAATCAGTCTTACAATGCATGTCAAGCCTACCTGCTTCCCATTAGGAACACAATCCTACATCTACTGCTTTCTTCTTCTATGCATTTTCCCCGTCAAAATAGGCTTGTCGGAAGCTGCAAAAAACTCAGTGGCCCCAAACATGCAATCGCATTTATCCCAACCTGTACCCACAGTTGCCTCTCAAAGTGAGCGCACTTTTTCCGCCTACGTTTTTATTTCTCTATATGACCCTCAACGTATCTATCTTACTGTGCATTTCTTACCAATTATCCGCAGTCTTGCAAAACAGGTAGAATAGCAAACCCAGGTGACGCTGGAATAAAATGGAGTACATTGAGAATTTGCATATATAACATCAGATCTAACTGCTACGAGATATAGCAAGCAGGGAAGGAATGGGTTGATGAGTTTACTAGACAACCAACACGTTCTGAGAGGCTGTCAATTTTCACGGGATAAATGTTTTCCATCATAATACATTCCCATTACCAGAAATTTCAGCGTTTGAGTGTAAAATGATATAAAAATTTTTATCTAGTGGGTACGTAGGCAGAAGTAACAGAGTACGTGGCTGTTGCTTTCCATTTATTTGTAAAAATGTAAGTGCAACCCGACCGTAGACTACCACTAGCACGCTAATGACCAGGTAAGTAAATGAGCTAAGCTACATGCGCTTTCACGCGAAAACATTTAGGGCTAATCGAGACAAAGAAAGATAGATCAGTCAATAGGACTGACCTGAAGAACGATCAAGGATCGATATCAAGCAGGCGTAATTCCGTGCATGGAAGCGGTTATCCATTGTTGCTCCGTCCAATATGCGTGACTTTGATCAGACACGACAACATTGACAACTTCAATTCTGCTGCCGTTCAGTGGGATTTGAATCCATGTGACCTGGGAAATTTTGAAAACTCTTTTGAATATATCACTGAAGACTTGGGACGAAAAGTAAATCCAACACTGGATGGGTGACATACAACAAACTTCTGTCGTCCAAAAACACACAGGGCGACTGATATTATTCATTATCCCGCAAAATGTGTTCTAAAATGGACGCATTAACCTGATTTGTTGTAAAATACAAAATTGATAATCGATTTAAAATTTGATTAGACTTTGGCTTGGGTGTAACTGATGAATGTGTTTGGAAATGAATTGCATCGGGTGCATCATTAGGGAGTCTAAAACCAAGGCCCTATTCAGCTATCTTATGTTTACATTGACCGATCAGCTGAAATCAAAAGCTCATATCCGCATTACTGTTACAAATAACTGAACTTCATAAATCAAATGGACATAAATATAGATTCACTTCGCAACGGCCTTGAAGGCCGAACTTAGCAATAATAAAATAAATCTATGTTTTAGAGCCTATGATATAGGCTTAGGAAAATAACGAACTGCTTGATAAGAAACTATTTGAATTTCGGTCAGAAATTCGTACAACTAGTCAATCTAGAATGGATTTACACGAAATGGTTCAGCGCAAAATTTCATAACCAAAACATTCCATCGAAAGTCGGTGGGTCGCCCACTTGCACTCTGACGGATGACACCAGCTGAAGTAAAAGGAAAGCCGTATTGAAGTAAAGAATGACAATTTTCACTACTCATCTCTGAATTACTAATTTTAAAGCACTGAAGAATTTGCTGCTAATCGTTCGCACCACTAAGTGGTCTTAGACTTTCAGCTACATCGAGAAAAGATTTCTTGAACTAGGGGAATATATTCTGCTTCTCTTACTTGGATATGTACATAAAATTTAACTGCACTTTTGGGAGATGGTAAATAATCAGTGACTGAACTACATCCCTGTTCATTTTATTGCGTCCGATTTTCATTAGATAAAATTGCTGTGAAGCACCGAAGCTGCCGCTACTCATGAAGTTAGCGGCACGAAAGCACATTCGAATCTTATCTGGTTGAGGGGATATGAAACTTGGTACTTATTGTGCATTCCTAATATATTACCCACAGTGCCCGTTCCTGAAATCAGTAATCAATGAAATAGGACCACTTGAATAACACGATAACATTTCACCTAAAACGACTTATGAAGATAAATCATATAGATGGGTTCACGAAGCTTCTCTAATGCAACGGCTGATATTGAACGGTTAGGCACGAACAGTAATGAGCTTCATGAGAATGCAACGGGGATTCACATCAGAGATTTCTACACATTCAGCTTGCTTCTTCATATTGTAATCTACGATGCTTCGCCTTACGTACAGATGTTGTTGGTACGACAGTAATGCCCGGAGAAAATGAACTCAATACAAAATCCAATGAAAAACGTCCTCCATCCAAAAAGAAGACTTTCGTTTCCCATTTTCGTGAGTTACGAATTATTATTATACTCTTTCTTTATTTTGAGATGAATCGACCTCTTTTGTATTTGAGAACCCATCGGTGCTTGAGACGTAATGGTTACTCCATTGATTCCACTCTTGAATAGGGGGGCCGTACCGTCAAGCTATTTAGTCTCGTCTGTTTGAATGCCCTCGATTTCTTCCACCACGGTACTGTCCTGAATATTCTACATGACACTGGTGTCAACGGTCCTAATTTCAACACCTTTCGTCATTGTTTCTATGGTCGTACGCGATACTCTAAGTTACATTCTTTGTTAGAATGGGTGCGTTGAAAAGTCTTCAGTAAAGTTAGAACGTTTCGTTTCTGTAGTCCAAATCACAGAGACCTTAGAGTACCTTATGGTATTCCGTTTCAGCTAGGGATTTCATACTTCCTCCCAATTTTGGCTTGTTTTCCCAAATATGACTTTTACCGGTCTTATGACCAAATCTCTGAAAATGATCTTCCATTGGAGCAACATTATTGGAGATATCGGCAGTGAATCAAGCATAAGCTGTCGTTCTGATGCGTATGACAAATAGGGAACTTTCCAATACATATCACTGTCCTCACTCCACACCTTCTAAAGCCACCCCATTCTCTTCCATTCACTCAAATTTCAAAATGTTTCATTCACGCATGTCTACGTATAGAAACAGTCTCATTCCTCACCTTGGTTGCTTACTCGTAGACCGCGATGAAACGATTAAAGATCTTATTATCCACCTTCATCATCATTCGTTTTGCTTGCACCATTTGCTCTGCATCTCTTATTCAACCAATAGACGTCTTCGTTTCAATTCAATCTTTTATCACCTATCTGCTGAAAATTCACCCTACATCGTATGCATAAGTGTTTATCGACTTGAATTGACTTACGCTGGTGGCGAACGCGATGCGTCTTCAATAAACGATGTCATTCATAACTTTCATCCAGGAGCATATTCTGGTTTCCGTGAGTCTCCTACAGGTACCTTTCATTGTTTTACGATTTTTCCGGCCTCATTTAAACTGAAACTGAATGCACTCATGCACTTTTCTAATGAATAAACACTTTTACAGTGGCATTATTTACCAATGAATTCAAGGAACAAACTCTCTTCTTTTCAGGCAGTTCAATAAAACCACTTTTTGGAAACGGCATTTGGTGGTTTCCTCTGTACAAAGCATTCTCATATTTCTGATAAGATGTTCGAACATAGTTGCAAATATGAAAAACTGAATGATTCCTGTTTTCGCCAGTGAATGTTGCAGCCGTTTTCCACTTCAATATTGCTCACCTTTGGTTTTCACTGATCAGATTTATTTCGCAATCAGACAATGCTACGAAAAACTGTTTTGATGCAACAAATATTTTGAAATATTATTACTTAGAACACTAACAGTCCAAATAATACACTTTTTCTCAGTTAAATATTTTTATTTGAATGAGCCGAGTTATATGTCAATGGCAGCTGATTGTACATTCAAAAACGAACAATTTATCGGAAGACAATATATCAATCGGGTTTGTAGTATGGTTGTCCATCTGATGTCTTACGGTATTATTCGTCAGACCACTTGAGAAAACAGGTAGTTGCAAAAGTATTGATAAGCTAACATTCCAATACTTCTGACAATTGGAGTCGATTTTAGCTCAGATTCGTGTGGTTCAATGGCTTTTAGTCGCCGAGCTTGGTGTTTAGTTTACAAACATTGCATCCTCAATCGAGGTGACAATTGATACAGAAACCATACACAAATCCCCAGTTGCGACCATCACCTGTCTACGTACTGCAAACGTGTCTTGACTCAGGTTGACTGCACGGTGCTGTTTGTGACCGATAGAAGCGAAGAATGGTGGATTGCGATCTGTTATCTAGACAGACTACAAATTCCGCGCGCAAACCTGAGCTGAGAAACAAAATGTGGAGCTAATCAATCATATTCCTGACAAATGCTCGGCCTATTGTCGAAACGGTTGATACATCTAGCCACGCATGGTGTATAGTGAGCGGGTGTAAACTACTAATTGGATATCTGGTCAAAACAATCCATCAGTCAAGTGAAACCGAAAGAAGCGGGAGTAACTTAGTTGACAGAAACAATAAACCGAACGATCATGTTTCTTCCAACGAAGGTTTATTGTTATCAGATATTTCACAGAAAACGACTGTGAAACTTAGGATTTCGATACCAAAAGTAGCGCGCAATACTTCAGGACATATTGGTAAAACTAAACCAAATCATTCTTCTGAAATGCTGAGATTTGCTGGGAGTTTATACTTGTAGCAAGACTTAGGAAAACCTATGAGAGAACCCAATAATAGGTCCCTGCCATGTTAGTTCGATGTAGCAGATTTCACCTGGTGTTGTGGATATATTGAGGCTGATTCGAAAATGTTTTACATAATGAACACTGAAGTTTCATGACTAATTAGGCTGCACAGTTTTTAGAAAGAGCGTATTTAGAAGCGTCCAGTAAATTTTTCAAGAGAACATCGGTTGAATGCAGGTTCTTATCATCGCCTTTGAACCTCAGACGACTTTATTACGGAGACTGTTGGATAGTGACATGTTAGGCACTCAATAGCATATGTGACGGACTTGCCTTCGGAAACAACTTGGATTTCAGATGACGGAGAACATTTACGAAATTGTCAAAGAGCACTGCGAATAGGCATTGGTTGTAGGTTTGAAAATCTTTGAATAACGACTGTTTCAGAGCAATCTCATCAGAATACTTTGCAGTATCCTGTAATGTCATACATTTTTCTTTGAATAATACTCGACAAAACCAGTAAATGTGTATGATACCTAGTAACTATCTTACTAATGAAATAATTGAAATAATAGTGTGCATAAATAGAACGAAGTTCATTCTTATATAAATAAGTAAAAAAGAAGCTATCGTGGACACATATCAAAGCATTTCGACGATATTAATTCTGAGCTACTCTCATAAAAGTGGTGTTGAGACTTGGTGATGTCGAATCTGCGTATCCTTTTAGGGAAGTTATTGATAGTTCAGTCCCGAACTATCAGGTGACCGACGGAGAACTCACGGAACATGTGAAGTGAATCTGTATTGCTTTCCAACTTCGGAAGCTGGTCACACATCCTGTGTGCTTCGAATGCCCGAGCCAACCAGGAATCTTTGCAGTTACTTGCTTTCGTTGGAAGAAGAAGTCTCTCCGAGCCATTTTCGACATTCCTTTGTTGAAATGAAGTCGCTTACTAGCAGCTGTATTTCTTCACGAAAAAACAATAATTCAACACGTATCTGTTCAAAGAAGAATGATAATTTTTACACCGTCAATCTGGTGGTATCGATCTGTTTTTGCATACTACAAAACACATATCTGACCATCTGAATCATATTTATTCTCTTCCCAAACGTATCAGTAACTCACCGTGAACCACATCTTGAGGTAGTATTGCGCTTTATAGTATATCTACTCAAACCACACCGATGCTAAATGCGCGTACTGCACACCGATGGCCCATTTTTGCAACGTCCGGATTATAAAGGGTCTGTGTATGCATCATAACTGCTTCCTTCTAGTCTGATGCATTGATGATACTTTTACCTGGCTGATTGTTATTTGGACTTCATCTGTCATACAAACCTCAGGTCAACGAACCAATATTGTACTAGGACGACACTTGACCGAACTTGACTCGGTACTTCGGACCAGTTCGAGTGAGATCTGAGTGCACAGTGGTAACGCACATGCCTTCCGAGATGAAATAGCATGAGTTCAAACCCTGGGTTCAGCGGGGGATATGCACAACTGATGAGATCTGACGTCAACGAAACTCAAGTCTGGTGCTTCCGAGTGCAAAGCTAGTCGCATGACCTTAAAAATGGATTCCGAATGATATTCAGACAAGTCGGAATTAAAAAGATCACCAATAATCACTGTTTCTTATTGGACACACCAAATAACCACACTACTTCAGTGGTGAAAATACACAAAACTATTTGTTTGATTACTATGGTATTACTAGCAAGCCGCTGGTGGTTGGTAAGGGCTAATAGGGTGATGAAGGTGAATTTTGTGCATTCTTATACACAGGAAAAGTTGTCAGGCTTCATTATAATAGTGAATTGGTAATTACCATTTTTGTACTCATAACTGTCAGTTTAACGTCCAACAACCAGTTAGTTCGGAACCAAATTGGATGGAAACCATTGGTATTGAATTTGATATATTCAGAAAAGTTTTCACTATTTCTGGTCTTCTATGCGTGGTTTTCACAAACATTCGAGACGTCCATGCTGAAAAGACTTTATTGGACCAATTTAGGAGTGACTGGAAGATCAAGGTGATACCACAAGATGAATGATACCACAATAATTGGATCATTTCTTTATTATGAAAGGATTATTCGGCACATGGGCAAATTACTCACGAATATGGGTGCAGAATGTTTGCGAGTTATTTTTCAATTTATGACTCAACTGCTTGTTATCGGATACATTTGTGATGTACTTTATGTATTTATTATCATCGCTATGTGATATTTGTTTGAATCCATTCAATGATTTTCATTTTCCAGTCTTCTGTTAACAAATGGGAATGCTCTACTTCAGAATCGAGCAACATATATGTTATGTATGTATGATTTATGTCAAGTGTCTACTGATGTTTCGTCAAGTTGTATGTATGAAGTTGACGTGATTCCCAGATCAGCATATATCCCTTACCATTTAAACCGGTCATTAGTCTGAATTCTGGTAACCAACCTGAGTAGGAGGGAAATTCTACGGAGCGAACTCATAATCATGTGATCAGTGACATCACTGATCATTAATTTTGCCTGCTAAGAATGTCCTACAAATGGACAAACATATGTACCAATATGCACATGCCATTCATTCAATTTCAATAGCCATTCACTGTGCATTATCTGTGGTAATGTTGGTTGCTATCTATCAGCAACAACCCCGATCGGCAAGGATGAAAAAACGGGACTGCAAATATAATGAAGGAAAAACAGAAGTAGTTTATAAATCCAAGCACGCCACTGACCGACGTGCCTACCTACTGAGTCGGGACTATCACTGACCCTACTCAGGAGATCTCACGTGCTCTACATCGCCAATTTCTCTCGTTCGGCTTTTCAAAGCTGTTATCACGAGTCATGCACCCAGCATTCTCATTCACTTTCCAATAAATAAACCCTCAGTGAAAAACGCAAGCCGAGGAATCCTCTACGTCTTCTGACAAATCCATACCACATCAGCAATTGATAGAGTTCGCTTCTTCCAGCTACTGCATCAAACACGATTATCGTTTACTTCGTCCTTTAGGCTCAAAATTCACTAGATAGTTTGACTTCACACACATGGTCCTACTCTATTTAGCACATGGCTTTCCAGTTATTCAAATGACAATGTGAGGATTAACTACGTGTTACCAGAGTATTGTATGGTGAAATTCTGTTCTGCATTGCGCCGAAAAATTCATCACGAATTATATCATCTTATTAGAACTATCTTATTTATGGTTTAGTGGAGACAGCGTTTCCAAATTGTCTTTATAAGTGCTTCAGCAGTTTTTCACCTTGAACCATTTCTCCCAGAGTGCCTTTCATAAAGTAGCTGATCTCAACTCAACAGTCAACCGATTTGTTTCAACATTGACATGTGCAGCACCCGATGTTACGAAACAAATCAAAGAAAGAACACAGAACCACACCACTGAAAGTTCAGTTCAATAGAATAATCTTGTCCATTTATACCGGAAATTGCCAAACAACAACGTTCGTTTGTTAGGGGCATAGTTCTCGTCTATTCTGCAGCCTTTGACTTGATTCCAACACCAAGTTTATAACGGAATTCATATTCCTTTGATTGGTAACCCTAATCATTAGTGGGAAACAAGGACTACTGTTCGAGACTTATCACAATACCATGTTTGCCTACAAGTCGTCAAGATTTCTACCAAATCATTATACCTTTCTCAAACCTGCTATACAATTACCCTTTCTCCACTTCGGTCTCCCACGGAACTCTAGATGAGATTGTTGATGATAGTGATGGCGTTGAGCTCCAACCTGGTAACAGACTGTGAGACTTAGACTATGCAGATGAAATTGCATTGGTTTGTGACGATGCTACTGTAACACAGTGCGTCCTAGACAACCTCGCGTCGTCCGTATTACGGTACGGGATGTGCTTTTTGCCATTCAAGTGTAC